AAATGAATGATATGAGTTGCACTAATGAGATTCTTTTTAGCGCTCGTCAATACAACGCACCGCGATAAGTGCATACCGCGTAATATGGAAACCGTATTATAAGGAACTCGGATTTAACGTATATACCAGGTAAATTTGTACTTCATTTTTTTTTTTGAAACCGTCTATCGCGTTGTATAAAAACCGTACTATAAGAAACTCAGAATTAATATAAATCGCAGCGTTCATACTAATGGTTCCAATGCGTTGTCGACCAGCTTCCAACCCCAGTCTTTAGGGTCCAGCTGGTTACCAAACTGCACTTGAACTTGATAATATACCCAAAAAAGATGTTGATGAACAGCTACTGAGGTTGGTGGAAGACAAGTTAATTGTACTTGCTTTTTATTGCAAGTATATTTATGGAACACGCGTATCGGAACTTCTCTAAGAAAAATGTTTTTTCTTAACACACTATTTTGCAAATGCAAAAAAGGATGAAGTGCCAAATGTGGTTGCAAAAAAGTTAGACTCTTTGTACCCTGGCGTGTCCTCATTGATCGAGTTCTAATGTTGAGCCGGCAACTGTAAAGGACTGTTTTGATACCAATGGGGAATCGCTGTTACAACAATTCAATTATACTCTAAGTGAAGAAGAAGAAGATGAAAAAAAAATCAAGAAAAACGAGAAGTACAGGATGTAGAGACTTGAAAAATATGACTCCCAGGAATAAATTTAGTTGCTTTTTTATCGTTACCGCCTTTAGTTTTACCAACCGAAATCCACAAATATTATTTTGCAATAGTTCCTCAACAAACAAAATCACAACACACCCGCGAAATAGGTCTACTGGAAAAACAACGTAAAAACGCGCTAAGCACACTACCTCGTAGGTGGATTTTAAACGTACGTAAGTCGTATATCTTTAAAACAGTGGCTTTGAGCAAAAAAGAATTGATCCATGTTTATATTACAATATTGTAAAATATAATATGTGACAATAATAGAATTTATATTAAAACCTTTTGCGGCAATATCTAGTTATAAAAGTCATTCATAGGTCATTCACGGAAGGAAACCGAATTGAAAACGTTTTACTCATCACATCACAAAAGCAACATTTGACACAAATTTTAGATACAATATTTTTTCAAACTTCGATGAATTTTTAAAATTAAACTACTTGCCGTAGGGCCATAAACTTTAGTATGCAAAAATTAATCAGCACGAGTTGCAAATAATATCTTTAGAATAGTTTTTGAATTTTTAAAACCGATTCAGAACTTTTGGCTAGACGTTAAATTTTAGGGCGGATTTTTTTACTTATCTACTAATTACAAAGAAACGGCTTGGCTGATCGACGTGCAAAACTGACAAACGATACTCCTTCAAAAAAACGCCCAGCCCAGTCGGGTTTTGAGAAAACATCAAAAATCTGTTCACGCACACACATACATTTTTTGGTCTCATTCAGATCAGAATGGCTTGAAACGACAACAAAACATAAAATTAACAAATCAGATTTTTTGACGAAAAACAATACTAACGAATAACGTTTAAAACTGAATCACATAGAACAAACTCCACCTCAAAATTCTTGCACAATGTTAGGCATATGTTAGGATATGTAGTACCAGTTGTTAAAAATTTTACAAATTATTAAAAAATTTATTAATCACTCATCAATTTATCGTTGAACGAACTCCAAATGAATTCAAATTTATAGTATCCAACGACATTGTTTTAATCAATATTGAGACTATTCGCAGACGCAATTTGCAAAGAAACAAAACTACTGTGTAAAATGAATGATTGAAAATCTATGAATATAATTATAGATGCCAGAAACTTAGAATCAGGCTGATATAAAAAGCGGACCATTGCTTTGGAAGTCATTATCAAGTCATCCATTGTTCGAACTGGTGCTGAATACAATTGTTCGGTGCTTTTTTGGACAAGTTTGTTATTAATAATAAACATAAAGGTTAGTTCATTTTATTTAATATCAATTTATTCTGCGTTTATGGAACCGGTTAAAATATATTATATTGTTCGTGATAAGTGTATCGGACGTTTCTCAGTGTAATTCGAGGAGAAAATCTCGACTTTTGTGATTTTAAACGTAAAACACTTAGAGGGATCGAAGGTAAAAATAAAAATGCATTTTTTATCTGTGTAAAGAACTGTCAAGCCCTATTTTCATCATATCATAAAATATATGTGACAAAATAAGTTGTGCTTTCTTCTAAACAGACATATATTTATAATTTTTCTTCCTTGCGCAAGCTGATATTCTACTATAGTTGTAAATTCGAAATAAAAATTGTTTAAAAAAAAGTACCTAATATAAAATATTAATTACCAATTTTGTATTATTTCTAAAAAATCAGTTTACGTCTTTTTAATGAATTTAATCATAACAGATACCATTATCGCATCAATAAAAATTGATAATGCATAATATTTAAAATCAGAGAACCTTTAGAACCGAATGATTTAAATTTATTAAAACAAAGTATGCCATATTTTTTGGTGCAATGTATTTATTTATTACATTATCAATTTATTTTAAGCCATTGCATAGTAATATTATTGCAATGATTTTTAATGTATTAATGTAACAACAAGTAATAGGAGAAAAAATCTCATGTCAACTAATTAAAAGTTGGCTGAGAAATCACAACTTATATGTTCATCGATACATAAACAACTTAAAAAAATTAAAATTAATTTGTAATTTTTTTAAATTTCATAATTATTTAATATATAAAGATAAATTAAATGAGGAATTAATACGTTTAACCCTTCCCCCTCGAATGACACCGCTCCGGCGGCAAAATACGCACTAATACTGCAATTAGCGAGTAGAAAGGTTTAAACGTATTAATTCTTCATTTAAATTATCTTTATGTATTAAATAATTATAAAATATAATATGAATTATTTTTAATTTATTTTAAGTTGTGAATTATTGAAAGAACTAGGAAGGTCTAGTGTAGGAGTTTCTGCAAAATGTCTATTGTTGCACTAATTGGGCGTAAAATTTAAACTTTGGTATGATTGTTAACAAAAAAAAAAATAGTAAAAAAAAAATTAACTGATGGTATAATTGTTATTTATAAATAAAATTATGGAGCAAATAAAATAAAAATAGAACATTGGTAACCAAGACAATAATATTGAATACTCTTCCCAGTTAATGTTTGATAGTGAATAATATTAACATTTCCCTCAAATACGGACTTTCAAAATCCTTTTTTTTTTAAATACGTTCTATGTTTATAACATTAGATTGAACTCTTATTGAAACCGAATATAAAATAACAGTAAAAAAAATATATACTATTATTTACTATAATTATTTATAAGTAGAAAAGAGAATAAATATCATCCTAGTATACTAAATTTCTGCACAGTTATGATTTAGATTTAGTAGTCATTTCGGCCGAAAAGACAAATACATGTATCAAACATCCCATTAAAAACAAAATTAGAATTGATATTTTCAAAAGTGTAATTATAACTTAAACATTTTGTAGTATTGTGTTTATTCGGCTCAGATCAAGATTTTAACAAGTGGCAAAGTAACAAAGACATCTATAATATTTTTTAGTTACTAATATTATTTTTTTAATATTTCAAGTGATGTTTTAAAACATAATATGAAATCAAAATTTTATTAAAATTAAAAATGAAACATCAAATATTAAGAACAGTTAAGATTCCTTTTGATAGTTGCACACTTTTATAATAAGAACTATTTGATGGATGCACACTTTTTTTACTACTACAATAAGAATTATATAGCCGTAGTCTAATGCTTTAATTATATTTATACTCCATTTAAACATTAAAAATATGCATAGGCATCGCCATCAACGACATCTGACATCACCACTATCAACGTCAATTTTGATATAGTTATCAGTATCATCTCTAACATCACCAACATCATTTCCTTTAACTTGCTATGAACCTAATTTTTGTTTTACATCCGAAAATATTAGGGAAACAAAAAATCATGTAACTCTCAAGTCACAGCGGACTATAATGTTAGCACTTCTGTGTAGGTAAATGTTATTTCAGATTAACAAACCTAGAAAAGGTCTTGACAACGTTATATAGTTTAATTTATGCGTCATCTCACAAAAAAGCCATAATCATTTGGTAAAATATCAAAAAATTTAGAATGTAACCTAAAAGTCAAAAGGGCCCATAGATGGTTAATAATATGGTCATAATCATTAATTCATAAGATTAAAGTCATCGTCATCAACTTTGATATCACATTAATCACAGATGATATCATCTTTCATATTGAAACTATTATTATATTCATTATCATTGACATCGCAACCACTATCATCTTTGATGTCGCTATCATTGTTATCTTTTACAACGGCACCATGATCTTTGGCATAAAAATTTCTAACAAATTTGGATTCGCCAATCACGTTAACGATCTTCTACATCGCCATAATCATCATCTTTGACACCACTAACAATTATTGTCTTTGACTTCGCTATCATGTTATCTATGACATTTGCCACCATGCCACCATGATATTTGGCATCAAAATGATCATGCCATCAACACTTTTGGAATCGCCATCATCACCATCCTCTAAATCGTCATAAGCATCATCTGTGATACAACCAACCATTATCGTTTTTGACGTCGATATCATTGATATCATTGACATGATGATTATTGCCATCAAGATCATCACCACCACCACCAGCACATTTGAAATCGCCATCATCACCATCTTCTACATCGGCATAATCATCATACTTTACACCACCAACTATTATCGTCTTTGACGTCGCTATCATTATTTTCGACATAATCACCATGATCTTCGACATCAAAATCATCAATGCCAACACATTTGGAATCGCCATCACAACGCCATCATCAGAAAATTGACACAATCATTATCATAGCGCCATTTTTATTACAACGTCTGTTTGTCAACTCATGAAACAGTTTTTAAAACATTAACATTTTTTTTTAAAGATGGCTGAAACGAAAACAATCAACACGAACAACAACAATCAAGAGAAGGAAGGTAAAAAAATCTTGCTACCATCGCAAATAGGAACTGATTATAATTACAAACATAAAATCGTGTGGTTTAACACCATTGGATTCCTGTATTTACATTTACTTGCTATTTATGGAATCTACCGAGGTCTCACTGGAGCAGCATACTTCTCAACCATTGCATGGAGTGAGTATAACGTTGGAAATCTCAATGATGTAATTTTTAGATCAGGCTGTGTGAATGTCAAATTTCCACTTGATATATATCCTTCTGCTCATAGATTTTTATATGATCTGAAGTCAAAATCGGTTCTCGTGGGTATAGTTGCACATAACATAAAAAAATGTCAACAAACTATTCGAGTATAGTTAAATAGCCAAAAATGGATTGGACAACTACTGCGTTGCCATCCAATCAGAAATCAATTACTAAATGACCTAGTATAATAGATTGTGACTAAAAGTATAACAAAAAAAATATTTTTTATCATTTTTCACTGTTTCAATTTTATCAATCAAGCTCTACAAAATTTTAACGTAATGCACTCTAATTATATGCGGGAAAACCGAAAAATTATATAAATTACAACTGGAGCCCGACATTTTTTTCGATTCCGTTGGCAGATAAAATAAAATCTAAGTAAAAAATTTTCTCTTGGTTATGTCATAAATAATAAAAAATAAGAAATTAACAGTTAATTATAAAAAAGGGAATTCTAACCGAAGTCAAATTCTATTCAGGGAAATTTATTATCCTCGATTAGGGTGAAATATTGCCTATTGGAATGCAAATTCGTAATCGTAATCAATATACATATTTTTGTTTATTTTATAAACTTATTTATTTAACTCACTATATAGCAAAAAATAAGGTTGTTGTGGCCGAGATCGTTAACTCTGGCAATCTGACATCGTGCTATGTCCATTTCTAATTAAAAATATATTTCAAAATATGTTTCCAATTAAAAATAAGCCCATCTCGGGCACTCCGGTGTGAAATGGAAATGTAAAAAACTCCTACATTACTTCTTCCCTGAATCGACTTGGAGTTTAACTCATCTCACGGACCTGCCTTAGGGCAGTACCCATTATCATAACAAAAAATGTAGCATTTAAATTTACAATTGCTTTTGATGCCATCTGAGGCCATTAACTGGGCTGTCGTTAATTACAATGTTGTTAGAAAAATATGATTATTAAAAAGAAATAAATATTATTATAATAGAGACTATATGTATTGCTATAAATATTTCATAGTACAATACGGTAGGCTCATTTAAAAACAAATGTCAAATTTATGCTGCACATTTGATCAAAGCCAGAGCAAGGTCAAGCAAAAATTACAAAAAGTTAAAAGCTTTAAACAAAAGCACAAATAACTTGTGAGTTTTTGCACACAAGAAAAAGAAAAGAATAAAAAAAATTACGTCTGCATAAATCATTTAATACGATCTGAAGATTATGATCAATAAACAGCAGCAATAAAAATCATTTAATATATTAGTATGGAAAAATCCGGTTTAATAATCTTATGTTTAAGTCTATTTTTACTTGAAGTAACTCGATTATTTCCCTTGTGACTCCAAAACAGATGGATTCACCTTTACCAAAAACCAATTGAATTTGCGCACTAAAATCACGAATGTTTTGTACAACCATACATTGTACGCGAATGTTGATGACATTGGTCTAACTGTCCTCTTAAAAACGTGGTAGATGAAAGAACTTTAAGACAATTTTTACTAACACTTCCATAACGAGAAACAGGTACATTGAAACGTGTACAATGTATGTTTTTAAATGTTTGAACCTTGGATATGTATATGGCAAATACTTGCTTTTATCCCCAAACTGAGGGGTTTTCCGCCATAACTAAAACGTGTGGACCACCTTTTCAAAAATATTTGCATCATTTTTGGAAAACTTAGAAAAAAACATATCCAAAAAAAAAATTACATCCATACATACGAACATCCACATAATTCGCTTACCTTGAGGACAACCTTCAATTCCTCGGATTGGCCTCGAAAGTTCTGTTTTTCATTATATTGAAATTAGTGAAATGAGTGCACTACCTGGTAGTAAATTACCAATTTCTATCTTCTAGTGATCTTTGTTGGTTGGTTTTCTGGTGAAGGAGTAACAATTGGAGCGCACAGGTTGTGGACTCACAGATCCTTCAAAGCAAAACTTCCTCTAAGACTGGTACTGCTAATTCTTCACACGGTTGCTGGTCAAGTAAGTAATATAGAATATAATATTGTACAAAAATAAATTATAATAATTATAATTATAATAATTTATGACAAAATGTGATATAATAATAAAATATCTACATATATATATAAATAAGTCGGGTTTTGCTTCCTGACGATGTAACCCCAGAACGCACAAACCGATTTCGACAATTTTTCATTCGTTGAAAAGGTCTCGAGCTCCGCAAGGTTTATAGCTAAGAAAATTAGTAGTGCATGCCATCGTGCCTTAATGCAAATTGCTGCAACTTCACGCACCGTAATTAGAAATTCGAGTAATGACGTTAGAGAATTATCAGAATTATGCTTGGTTATGTCAACGAGCAATTCTTCCCGCAAAGAATAATGATTGATGATGAAAAATTGCTGGCGATTTGGTGACATACCAATGATTCCGACTGGTCTTCCGTTCGACTTCAAACGATTGCAATTTCCAGTTCGCCTTGCGTTCGCAATAACAAGTCGCAAGGCCAATCGCTTAGTGTTTACGGGATAAATTTCAAATAGATCATTTAGAAAATCACATGGGCAGTTATACGTTGCCTGTTCACGAGCTGGGAAACTATCCGCTTTGTTTGTGTTAACGTCAGACCAATAAACAAAAAATGTGGTATCAAAGAGCACTTCAATGAAACGGATAATTTGCGGATTCACTTTCATTTATTTAGAGAAGTTCAACTAAAAAACACTTCATTTTTGTAATCGAAATAAATTCATTACTGTTGTGTAATAAAATCAAATTCTTCCTTTTCAAATATAAAACAAACAAAAAATTTCTTAATCTTTCTCACGAAAACATCTGGTGGAGAAACGGAGTTCGTCGGGGTTGCTAGTATATATATATATATATATAAACTGAACTGAAAATCTATTTATTAATTGTTCATAAAAATTAATTAATTTTTTCATTTATAATTAATTTATACGTTTCAAAAGTGTTCTTAAGTACTTAAAATATGATTGCTTATTTAAAACTAATTTTAGTTTTAGTTAAGATTAGCAATCAGGATCCTGAAAGAAACTCTCCTGATCCGAAACGTAGAATATGTTTATAAACAAAAAATTGAGTAAACAGGCTTTTAAGTCATATAAATAAAATTATATCACAAATATATAATAGAAGTGGTCCTTCATATAGATATTTTTGAACTTTTTCCCTCCCAGGGACTCAATGCTTCCAAAATGATAAAAAAAATCTCTGAAAGTTTTTACTCTTAATATTAACTTTAAGATAGTCCGCACTCCAACCAAAGTTTCTCATGGAAATAACATGACTAAAATTCGATTTGTTTTTTAAAAATTATATAACTTATAACTTGGCGACAAGTGAATCAAAATTTTGAGAATAACATTGTATTTACTTATTTTGATCATAAATAAGAAAAATTACAAGATACAATTGATAAAATAAGTATTTACTTAGGAAGAAAAGCCAAGAAACTTTGGTTGGAGTGCGGACTATCTAAAAGTTAATAATATTAAGAGCTAAAACTTTTAGAGATTATTTTTTGTCAATTTGGAAGCATTTGAGCCCCTAGGAACAAAAACATTTAAAAATATCCATATTAAATACCATCGAAATATATATAAGGTGGTCCTTAATATGGACAGTTTCAAATTTCTTTCCAACGGCTCAAATGCTTCCAAATTGATAAAAAAAAATCTCTAAAAGTTTAAGCTCTTAATATTATTAACTTTTAGCTAGTTCGCAATTCAATCAAAGTCTCATATGGAATTAGTATAAAAAAAATTTTCAAAAATTTAAAAAAATGTTTTTTAGATATAACTTCTATAACTTCTACAGCTTCTATGTAATTTTGATTACTGTTTATTAATTAATAAAAAAAAAAAGTTATAACTTAGCGACAAATGGATCGCAAAGTGTTTTAATGAAACATGACAATTTATGTCATGTTTCATTAAAAATTCGATGCTTTTTATAAATGTATTTTTTCGAAATAAGGCAGTGGATAAATTTATATTGCATATATGAATTTATCCCCTGCATGTTCCAAATTTTTTAATAACCAAAAATTAAAACTCACGATTCAAATAAATTTATTGAATATTATGAATCGTATAAAATGCATCAGCCACTTCTTGTCCTAGCCTTATTAATTTGCAATTTACGATTTGTTGTACAAAAAATTGTTGTTACTAATATATAGAAGAGTTTTAATTTTTACAAATTTTAATCTTAGCAATAAAATAAATAGTATATAATATCAATTTAAGCTATTTTAATGAAAACACGTCAGAATTTGGATACTAAATTTAACAAAAAAATATGGACAAAAAAGTTCTTCAAACGTATTTCTTATTTAAATTATTTTTGTGTTTAGAAATAAAATAATTCAAATAAAATACAATAAATATAAATTATGAAATTTCGAAGTAGAAAGTTTAAGAAATTTAGAAAATAAAAAAAATATTACCATGTGTTTTTATATTGTCGAAAAAATATTGAACAAAGAGTAGTAAAGTTAGTTAAAATAAAAATTATTCTAAAAATACTCATAGTTAGAATAATTTGTAGAAATTTAGTAAACTAGGGCAGCATTTGTACGTTACTTTTTAATTTTGCTTAGCAACAACTTCAATATTTTTTTATAATTAAGGTAGAACATAAAATAAATAGTAAATACCAGAATTTTTTAGATAAACCTATTGCATATTTTTTTTAAAAACCGTCAGGCCTATCTTCATTTTTCGTAACTTCGAGGGGAAACGGCTGCAATAGATTAACAAATATTATAGATATACTATTAAGGTTACTCGCAAACCTTAAAAATCAGTTTTCTAAAAAAATTTGAATGTTGTTTATTTATTTAATCACAATCAAACTATAATCATTTTTCCTCAGTCTTCTTCTCGGTCAATATTTCAAACTATAAACTTTGTGCATGACTATTTTTTGTTAAAGTTTTTTTTTAAATATTGTAAATGGAAACCTCATTAAAAATCCAAGCATGATATACCAAAATTACAATTTCAAATTAAACGCAAAACCTATCTAGGTCATTGATTATTCAACTCTTAGACTTTTGACAAAAGTTGAAACATTATCATTATGTAAATATATTATTTTACCTAACCCACGGGAATTCACGGTATAAAAAACAATAAAAATTTATTTTGAAATTTATTCATTTAATTTCAATTCAACAATACCATTGTTAACACTAAATTTACATAAATTTTTCCCAATACCCAATACCACTGTCACTGAAAATAAATCTTTTTTTTTCGACAAATAAATTGATGATCTAGTAGCAGAAACCATTTTTATAATAAAATTCATAAGTATTTGCAGAAGCTTTTTATACTTTAATTGTGCATACTATTCGTAACTTAATAACACTCTATCATTGAATAAAAAAATATTAGTGTAATTATTTACAAAAAAAACTTCATGTTTTATGGCGTAATAGCTTTCTGGAAGCACCGTTTGTGCTACATCGATATTAAAATATTTAAACGTTTCGAGGTATAGTGGTAAGAGACTTGCAACCACATTTTCATTCCAACAAGTATCAAAAATAGAGAGGACGGCCATCGGTTTATCTTCCAATAGTTAGATAGTAAAGTGATTGCTGTTCAAATAAATAAATTAAAAGAAATAACTAGCGGTTCATGGCATCGTGCCTTAAGGCAGATTGCTGAAACTTCCCGTACTGTTCAAGGAATGAACATTCAATAATGAATTAAAATTGTTTTAGATATTTTCAAATAGATTATTTAATATAAATACTGTAAATTTATAATAGCTCATTAAATTGGGTGACAAACTTATTCTACAAACAACTTTTGTATATGTTTACAAGAAATTTTGTTAAATTTTTTGAAAAATTTGATTTTTTGGTAATTTTGAATTTCTTTCAAAATTTTGAATATTTTTTAAAAGTTCGAATTTGTTTTGGAGTTTTGAAAGAAAATCGATTTTTTCAATTTTTTTGAGAATTTGGAAGTTTTTGAAAACATTAAATTTTTTTTGAAGATTTCGAAATATTCTAAAATAGTTGTAAGAAATCGATTTTTTTAATTTAGATATTACTTAAAATTTTTCAAAATTTAGATTTAACTATGAAAACTTTCGAAAATTTGAATTTTTTGAAACTTAGATTTTTTTTGAAAATTTTCAAAATTACGAAACTTTTTGTAAAGCATTTTTTCCACGCCGTCTCCACAAGCAAAACATTTTTTGAACCAATCTGAATCGTTCTCTCAAAAAACGAATGACCTTTTTTATATCCTTCACACTCCGAAACGGCTAGACGCGCTTTTTGCAGAAACGTATGGCGATCGAGTATGAACCAAATGTTTTTTCCATCATTCAAATCGGCTATTCCATACTGTCGAAAATGCCGAAAACACACATATAAATTGAACTTCAAAATTAAAAATCTTGGTACGGAACCCAAGAATATTGACACAAAAAGTGTACACATTATTAAAATCTCTAAAAAATATCTGATAATTTGATGTGCATATGTAATGATCATTTTTGGCCGCCAAATGGCGTCTTTTTACTTTTTTTTATTGAAACTCTAAACGCTAGACATGCCTTTCCAAAAAATTTGAACAGTTCTTTGTTTAGTCAATACAAATAAATTGAATTATTCAAATTGGATGCTTCGTTTTTCCAAAAACTGAACTAACATTTTTTTAAAATACGAATCAGACAAGTGGTGCACGGCATCGTGCCTTAAGGCAAATTGCTGGAACTTCCCGTACTGTAATTAAATTTTTAATTTTTTTTATAACAATTTTCTTTTGAGAATTCTAACAAAATTTTTAGAATATTGTTTTTCATTAAAAATTTTAATTTTTTTTAAAGCGCGTAAGCATCGCATTGTATTCTTTGGCGATTAATCGTAAGTCTTGGTACGGAATCCATAGGAATGGAAAACAAATTTGTTCTGAACTCAATATAGAAAGTATCTATAAATTTCATATGCATATGTAAAATAACCAAGTTATTTTTTTTTCTCTGTACTTCCGAAACCGCTGGACCTGCCTCCCTAAAATTGTAATCAATTTTTCATTTCGCCAACACAAATAAAATGTTCAGATCATTCAAATCAGATAATCCATTTTCTCACAAACTGAATTGCCTTTGCCAAAAACTAAATCGGCACGTCTTTCTATCAATAGGAATCGAATTGAGTTATTCAAATCGAAAAAACAAAAAATTGCACCCAAACATATTTACATACACATAAGCACAATTATTTTTTCTAAGGTATGCCAAAATGTTTAAGCGGTCTTGAAACGTGAAGACATGCATAAATTTTCATTTTCGATTTTTTTGTGATTACTATAACTTACCTAACGAGAAGTTAATAAATAATATTTATTATTTAAAACATAAACGGTGTTAAATAAATTAATTAAATTTATACAATTTCAAATATTAAAATCAGAATATTAATTGAATATCTCATTGACTAGTTTTTAGTGAAGCGCATAGCATAATTTCAGTCCTAATCGATTATTAAGGCAAAATACCATTTACAACTAGTTAACTTCCAGTAAGGTCAATTATAGTAACTGCAAAATAATACAAATTGAATTTTTTTATATCTCTTTACGTTGCAGTACCTTCTGAACATTTTGGCAAACCTTAGAAAAAATTGATGTATATGTGTGCGTATGTGTATGTATACTACATACATATGAATTTTTCGCCCACAATTTCAAAAGCACAAATAAACCGATTGGAACGGTTCAAAAAAAACATTCGATTGCTATTAATGGGGAGACGTGCTGATTAGTTTTTGGCGAAGGCACATCCAGCCGGGAGCAAAAAGTGACAATAATGGCAATCTTGAGAGAACAGATGGTCTGATTTGAATGATTCAAAAAAACATGTTATTCGTATTAAAAAGTGAAGAATTAGTTAAATTTTTGAAAAGGCAGGTCCAGGGGTTTCGGAGGTCCAGTGAAAAAAATGACAAAAAAATGTCATTTGGCGGTCACAAAAACCCATTAGACAAATGCAAATCAAATTATCAGATATTTTATAGAGATTTTACTAATAAGTACAAATTTTGTTTACATTCCTATGGGTTTAGTACCAATGTTAACCGTTGGACAGCGACGCGCCGTTTACGCGCTTCTATGGTTTGTCTGAGCGCAATTATTTAAAAAAAAAACAACATTTTTTACAGAATTTAATGCATTTGAAAATTTTCACATTACGGTACGAGTAATTCCACCAATTAAGGCACTATGCCATGCATCACGAGTGTACTTTATAATTTACATTAACAAACCTAATTTTTGTTCCCCTAGAACTGTTTATGGGTTTGGGTCAGGGACCACCGTCAACACCACAAGTACTCCGACACCGACGCAGATCCACACAATGCCAAACGAGGGTTCTTCTTCTCACACATTGGATGGCTTATGACTAGAAAACATCCCCTGGTATTCCAATATGGTAAAAATATCGATATGTCCGATCTGGAAGCAGACAAATGGGTTATGTTCCAAAAAAGGTAAGAAAACGCATTTGATGCAGTGATAAGGGGCGTTCATTAATTACGTGAGCGAGTTTTTAAGGATTTTTGGATCCCCCCTCCCCCTTGGTGATACATGGGGATATTCAAAATTACCCCCCTCCCCCACCAAACATCACGTGTATTTTTAGTTACGTAATAAAACTGTATTTTTTTAATTTTTTTGAAAATATTGAATTTTCTTTTAAAAAAATCAGTTGAAAAATAAATACACATGATATCTTGCTATACCCCTGCCTCCCCCACGTGATATTTCGTGATATTTTGTCAGATTCTCCCTCCCCCTAAAAACCTCACGTGATTAATGGACGCTCCCTAAGTACTATTTCAATAATAGCATGAGTGTTTCAAGACATTATATTTTTATTTTACTCAATGACCCCTGCTACTTCAAATAGGGTAGGGTGAGGCACAAAGTCCAATTTGACTGTCAGTAACTATAATGTATAAACTAAATGAAGTACTTGAAAACGCATGACATTTATCAATCAAATAATTATCGAACTACGTTCAACATTATTCCCAGTTAATTCCCAATTGAAGAAATGTGCATTTTTACTACCTTTCTAAAATTTGTCAACAATCCATTTTGCCCCATGGGTGGGGTAAGAGGGGACGACCAGGGGGCAAACAGATCAAGCGTCCTTTTTCATTTTTAAAAGAATTTACGAAATAATAGCTACATTATTTAACCAATGTAAAATACAAATTTTATGGGAACATTTTTTGCGATGCTTTCATTGCATACAATCTTGATCTAGTATTTCGAAAGAACTATTCACCAGCAGAGGTCGAATAGCTATTAATTTAATTTCCTCTTTTAAAATTATCTTTATTAACTTAATTTATTTAGGTTTAGGTAATGGTTTAGTTAGTCCGGATTTATAAAAAAACTGTTGAATCTAATTTAAAAATAAAAAAACATCTAACACAACAAATAAAGTACACCTAAACATTATTATTAAAAAGAACTGCCAACAAAATAAATTATGGTATGAATATTGATACGTTTCCGTTGATCTCATGATAGCAACTTCGTAAGAATTAAGAAGATGGATGATGATACATATTTTGCCTTCTACTTTAAAATAGTAACATTAAAAAATTCTATACCTTGCTCGTTTTTGAGATAATGGTAATGAACCTTTTTACCCGCGGACCCTTAAACCAAGCTATACCGTATAGTGTAACCTTACAATAGAAAATTGGGTATTACACTCGCAACACAAGTAAGTACTATTCGCACAATAATTTTGTCACTAGACTGTTTTTAGATACAAAAAGTTCTCAGAAATTACTTATAATGACAAAAATTGGAATAGCAACAAAGTAATAAAACCTTATTTTAATGAAATTTTTATCTCACAAGAAGAGCCTTAAGCAAATCAATTTTGATCCACGTTTTGAATATCTGATGCCTAAGAAATTACGGTTAATTATGAATGTGCCTTTTGGCTGCAGGATGTATTTTAGATAAAAAAAATTCCAATTGTTCATCGAAATTCGTGCATATACTCTTGATCATCCATTTTATTTTGAATAAAGTTCGTAAATCGATCCAATTTTAAATTAATTTAAAGAAGTATTGTTCTATCCATATAATGTTATATGTTTATATGTGTAATGTTGAGAGTGAGAAAATATCTTATTTTGAATGAGTGATGATTGTCGACTTCACCACGATCATACTATTTATTAATAAAAAATGTATCTTAAAACGTTGTAATAAATGTTGTAATTTGAAACAAATGTTTGTCTTTTCAGATATTACAAAACTCTTTATATAATATTCGCAATTTTCCTGCCAACTATCGTTCCAGTTTACTTTTGGGGTGAAGATCCTTGGATGTCTTTGCTTATCGCTTATGTGGTGCGTTCAATAGTAATGTTAAATGCAACTTGGCTGGTAAACAGCGCAGCACATCTTTATGGAACAAGGCCCTATGATATGTGAGTAATAAAAAATAGTATATTTTAGATTTTTGCATTCTATATTACAAATAAAAAAAACTCATTTGAATTCGGAATGTCCGATGTCGATAATATCGTATGTATCATTAACAATGCACCCAAATTCAGTAGCAAATCCAGACCGCTCAAATACTTGGACATAGACTGTTAATATCGAAACATTTTTTTTTGTGTAATTACCATCAGAACTAGTTATTTCTCAATTTCATACATTACCGATTGACAATTCTCCATTAACCTTCTGATAGGAAATTACAACCAGTAGAAAATAAATTCGTCTCAGCGCTCTCCAACGGAGAAGGTTGGCACAACTACCACCACGCATTTCCATGGGATTACAGGGCCGCCGAATTGGGCCGCGATTGGAACTGCACGACCGATATAATCGACTTCTGTGCCAAACTAGGATTAGCATATGACAGGAAAGCGGCACCACTAAACATGGTAATTATTATCGTTATATTAATAGAGAATTATATCTGGGCGATCATTTATATCAACACGAGGTCAAGCTTGATCAGGGGTATAAGATAAACACCTAAATTATCTATTGTTATTTAATCTTATATATAAAAATGGAGCTCTCTTTCAAATGTCTTAGTAAAATTCGAAAACGGCTAAACCGATTTGGCCAGTCTTAGTCTTGAAAAATTCGTGCCAATCCAAGGTGAGATATTATTTCAAAATCGCGTAGAAACTTTACACTTTTAATTTGAAATTTTTTGTAGAAGCACAATTTGAATAAAACAATGGACGGTGGCAAATACGTGAAATGTCAAACGATTTTGACAGATGATGTTCAATGACATTTAATAGGATGTTCTCCGTGAATATTATTTAATTATGATTAAAATGTGGTAAGAGTTTCGTTTGTAGTTTTATTTATATACAAAAACGTTAGTAAACGGGCCGCAAGTGTTACTAGAGACTCAAAATATCAACTTTTTTGAAATGTTAATATGAAAATGCACTTTTTGGTATATTTTTCTCAAACACGGTGCTCTGAAATATCTCATTTGTATAATTACATACTCATTGGTATTTATAAAACATTTTCTAGGTTATATTATTTTTTATTTATGATATTTTAATTCAGAACCAAAATTTGGTATCGATCAAAGGGACATTTTGCCGAAAAACATTTTCTCAGTTATAATTTTGCAGAATTTATCGAAGAATAGATAGTAATATATGAAGGTCCGGGGTTAAAAAGCGACAGCGATGTGTCAAAAACCAGTAAAGTTAAGCATTGTTTAACAACAATATTTGAAAGTGTCAAAAACCAGTAAAGTTAAGCATTGTTTAACAACAATATTTGAAAGTAGAGGGAAAAAGATGTATAACCAGCTATAACCTTGATTCTTATGACTTTGCTATCTGGAGATAAACTGTAATCTTTGAAAATCCATAATAATATTTTTTAGTATTTTCTTCCGTTGATAGTTTTTTAGCATTATTTAAAAGTGTAATTACTTTGTAAAATACCTTTAAAACTAAAATAAGACATTAAACCTGTTTGCCACCTGGCCGTTCCAAGTTACCCCGTCCATGGGGTAAAAAGGTCTAGATAACATTTTTTTGAAAGACATCAAAAAAGCACATTTCTACAATTATGAAGTAGCTGGCAGTTTTACTGAACGTAGTCAAATAATTTTTCGTTTGAATTGTGTTATTTGTTGTGATATAATTGGTTTGCTTTTCATAATATAGTTTATATTTGCTCAAAGTCAAATTGGACCTTTGTGTCTCGTCCAGCTCTACATATATACTTTTTATTAAATTTACTTCAATTCATCGAATGTTACTTGAAACTTTTCAAAAAGCAGGCCAAAGAAAGAATACTTAATTCATTTTCTCTCTCTCCTCTCTCCTCGCAGAAATTTGAAAATTTTGTATAAGCTCAGTAGTATTATTTACAATACACAAAATCCAGAATCCAAATATCAATAAGTCAAAAGATTGCTTTATTTTTCATCAACAAAACTCAACAAAACCTCTGCAGTCAAGCGTTTTTCTCAGGTTGTCAGATAGAAAACCTAATATATTGAAATAAAGGGGGAATACAGTCCCCTTAACATGACATTTCTAAGTTTTTTTCATATTGCGAAACATTTAAAAAAATTCAGATCAGTAAAAAAAATGTTAAATGTAAAATTAATATTGGTTTATATTTTGAAAAGTAAGATGTTCATCTTATGAATTTATAAAATTCATGACTTCATAATATAACATAAGATAGGTACATGCAAGTACTTCAGCATATATTTTTAGTTGGAGTAGCATAGTTAAATTATTAAAAACTTGTAATACCTATTCATAAATCTCAATATTTATTGTCTTGTTTATTTATAGTAATATTAGAGCGGATGCATAATTAGACTCATTACAAAAAAATTATTTTAAATTAATATAACAAATTGAGTGACTAATGATAAGTTATAATTAGCAAGAACTGAGATTCAATGATGTTATTTATTTTATGAATTATGATATATTTTTACTTGATGTTTGGTTTACGTTTTTGTTTGAAACATTTTATAATATTTGTAATTGTATCAATTGTGCGCTGACAAACACACGCTTGTATGTCTTAAAGCTCGGCTCATTATTCAAAACTTTATTGATTTTTTATAATTAAACAAGTTTTCATAGCAATAATTCTTTTAGAATGTTCTAGTGGATCATAAACTTTATCGCCATGTAAAAACGCCAACTTTTTTCTTAACATTTGTTTACAAAAAAAACGACGCGGTGAAGCTTTATCTATCTTTTGATTAGTTTTTTATTTTTAAATGGTTTTATATTTTTTTATAAAACGTGGACAAAAAACTATTCATTTTCTGCAAATTATAAAGAAACGACTTGCCCGATCGTCGCGTAAAACTAATCAATGCCAGTACCTATCTAGTTACATCATAAAGCTTTCAAAATACATATACATATATACATGTACAAACTGTTTCCAATTTTGACCTATAACGATTCAGAATGATTCAAAACCTCAAGTAATTAATGTGCCAGAATTAAACCTTGGAATAATTCTGGCTATAAAACACTTTCGTGTTCTCAATAAAAAAAATCATTGTATGAAAACAAGAAGTATGAGAATAAAAATTATTATTATTATTGAATACAGAACATGAATTAGAAGGGCTTACAAATAAAGTTTAAATAGAAAAAAATGTCAAAGAAACTGTCCAAGAAAAATCATGTTAAATATAATATATAAACTTCGTTTCAGCAAAATATTGTTCGTTATCAAAAACTGAAACATTCACAAATATCGTACATGCATTAAAACCATAGAATTAGCGGTACCATAGAATTATAAAGTTGTACTTCGAAGCCATCAATCGCGCAGCAAACCTCGAATATTTAATTCGGAATTACTACTTATGTTTTGATCATACCCCAATCTTCTTTATACTTATGGTATTAAAAATTTCAGGTCATGGCACGAATAAAACGTACTGGCGACGGCACACATCCAAAAGAATCAAAGGCTGAAGCCGAAATTGTTCGAGAAGCCCCCACAGGGATTATAGATTCGACATCTGGATACCCGCTGATGCCAAGTGAATGGAACGCTGGAGAAGCCCCTCAAATTGATCCAAAGTACGAAAATTACACCAAAGACACTACAACCATGGTAATCGCACCAGATTTAGAAAAAGTTAAAGACAAATGCAAAAAACAACAAGGTGAAGATCAACTAATCACGGAAGTATGCACGGAAGCCCTAAAGAAACAAAATTTAAACGTCATTAGGAAACGAGAGATTGCATTAGTCGGCTAAAAAAATTTCATCCCCATTCAAATCATGAATTGAAAATTATACATTTTGAAGACATCTAATCACGTTTGAAGCAGATCGTCTAGCTTCTGATTCCTACATTCATAATCGAAATAAATATAACGAGGTTTTTCTTGTAAAGACTTTATTTTTGAAATGCCCATAAATTTGACTAAAATTATTTATTTCAAATGATGTTTAGCTCATCTAAATTATTAATTCACCACACACATTCTAAATATATATCTGCTTCACGTGAAATTTACCAAAAGTACTTTATAGATGATATGAACTAGAAATCTAGTAACCATATCAGTAAATTTGATGTATTTGATTAAAATATTGAATTTAGCGAAAATTCCTTGTTTTTCAACATGTCAAATTAATATAAAATTCTGTAAATATATGTCAAAATAAAGTTTATATAATTAAACAAAGTTTTTTTTTAAAAGCCTTTGTCAAATCTGTCTGGTATTTATAAATTACATCATCTGACAAATTTAATTAGAACTATTTAGTTGAATGACGTACATTAGGGAGACTGTGATCGACATTGGGAAACAGGAATAATTAAAGAGTATTTTTTGTAAGTATTAGCTCAACTGTAAGTTTTTATGGCAAGTCGTTCATAGGAGACATCCGCATGACTATCTGTTTGTACGGGTATCGCTTATAGACGACATACAACGAATCGAATCTTGCTTCAATATTTATCATCCTGACAAATTATTGAGAATTCTAGTTCGTTATTATAATTTTTAATTTTCTAGAAGTGTAATTTTTACTTCTTCAACACTTTTTAATGCTAATGATTAAACTAGGGATGCACGCATTATGCCTTAAGGCAAATTGCTAAAACTTCCGTACCGTAATGAAAATATAGAAGAAACTTTAAATGTTTTCAAATCGATTATTATGTGAGAATAAAAAGAGGTCATGAGTCTTTGATAGAAACATTTATTTTGTCATGACATTTTTTATAGTTTTGAAATCATAATTTTTGATTTCGGTGTATTACACAAAACATAGAAATATCTTTTACTTATTTACATATTTCTATACTGGTGACCTACGACATCTTCAATAAAGATTGAACATGGATACAAGAATTGAAAAAAGAAAATATTGACTTTGGTGCAACGCCCTAATCACTGGTCTTCCGTTGGCTACTTAAAAGGTACGCCCAGTCCTCGATCCATCTCGGGTTAACTCATTTACTCTTGTCATGACACCGGACTTCCGTTGGCATACTCATTCTGTATGTCCAGACCTCGGGTTATCGCTAACACCAAAAAGTTCACTGAAATCACCCTCTCCTTGACATTTAACTCACCAAATCGTTTTTTGACGCTTAAGGCTTTGGAACTGGATCTGGATTGTACGTTGTTTTTAGAACTGGATTTAGGTACTTCATCCAAGTTGTCCTCATCGACTCCAGTCAAACAGTAAGCTCTTATGAAGATTCAGGCAATTCAATTCTGCACTATTGAATCAACTGCTTTCATTGACCCAACTGTCCGAGATACTCCATCGACAAGTCTGTAATATGTTTTACTAACTTCGATGATTATGCCAGAGGACTCTCATCCAGTTGTGGTGATCTACGATTGGTTCATACCTTCATGAATTTGAGAAAAAAATTTCATGTCCTGAAAGATGTTAAATTCAAACCTCTGCTACAATCTGCCTTCCCACCAAATAAATATGACGTGTTAACGTGCATATTTAAACTAGTGTGAGGTCAACACTGGGCAGGGAGTATATGTGGGAATAAAAAGAGGCCATGAGTTTTTGATAGAAATAATTATTTTGTCATAACATTTTTTATAGTTTTAAAATCATAATTTTTAATACATTTTTTATAAAACATAGAAATATCTTTTTCTTATTTACATATTTCTATAATTATAAATACTGTAACTGACTGTAACCCTCATTATTCGTATTTTGTAGACAAAAGGTTTTGTAGTTTATAAATTGTACAACGACGTTTATATATGTTTACATGTATAGTATTTACGAAGAAATAAACCTTATTCAAGAGAAGATTGAATGAAAGACCTTATCTCATAATTGTAGCAATTACATAAACTGTATAGCCAAGTTAAAATTATTTATTAAAGTACATAAATGACCTTTAGAATTTTAGCTAGAGTTAAAATTAAAATCCAAATCATTTTTGATACTTAATTTCTTTTTTTGTAAATGAATTCTTTTTAAAAAAAATTAAATCAAAAACTTGTTTGTCTTCCTTAATCCCTAATCCTACATATTATCAACACAAGCAAAATATTTTTTAAACCATTAAATTCGGAAGCAGTTCTCTCAATTTTTTTTATTTTTTGAACTTTTAGAACCGTACCGTAAGGATGTCTGTATGTGTGTATGTGTAAATATATATATATATATATATATATATATATATATATATATATATATATATATATATATATATATATAGACTAATTCGGCGTATTAGTTGTTAAAATATAAATCTTACATATGCATATATTTATGGTGCGTCTTTATCTTTATTTTCAGGAATGTAGCGAAAAGGCACTTGTACAGTTTAATTAATTTTCCAACAGAATCATTTGTTTTTTGGAAAAAACATATCAATTTTACGTCAAAAGAATAACATACTAATACAACAGGGAAGCTACCAAGGTTATTACAATTTTTGTAAATTTTTCATTCAAACCTGAAAAATTGCTGCATAAATTAGCATTTCCATTAAAGGTGAACTAGTGCATACTTTGAGCGTAACTGATAACACGTTAGAGATAACAAAATAGTAAAATAGCTAAATATTGTGCAGTATAAAGCAAAATATTTCGTAAAAATATTGTTTCATTAATGTGCAATAATAAAAAAAATAATTGGCTTTGGATTTGTTTATACGCAGAGAAAAGTGAAAAAATGCCCCACAAGATATTAAAAAGTATATTTGCCACGCTGATTCTATACAGGATTCCAAATTACGGTCAGTATAACCAAATTATATATATATATATATATATATATATATATACATACATATAATTTTTGAAAATTCAAAAGCTATTCGATAGATATTGGTTGGAAATCGTGCGATTAGTTTTTGGTAAAGATCGGCCGTGCCGTTTACTTGTAATAAAGTTAAAAAAAAACGACAATTTTTATGATTTTTTTTTGGCGGTAGATACCATACCTGTCTTGTAGATCATACTAAAATATTACGGCTCGTTTAATCTTAAAAATTCTTCAAAGTTTGCAAAAATTAGTATCGTTTTAGCATTTGTCAAAATTAGACCTTTGATCGACGTTTTCTCAAAAACGCCTGAACCGACTTCAGAAATTTAAAAGCAATTTGATGTATCACAAGGAGGACTATCGTTTGTAAGTTTTGTGAGACAATCTGCCGAGCCTTTCTTTGTAATTTGAAAAAAAGTGTTGAGTTTGTCGTCCACATTTAATCTGATACTACCGAATCGATTTAAAAAAATCAAAAACTGTTCGAAAGGTATTAGTTGGGAATGGTACTGATTAGTTTTAGGTGAAAATCCACCAAGCCGTTTTCTTGTAATTAACTGTTGAAATTAAAATTCAGGCCAATTTTCATAGACTTTTTTTTTGGCAATATGGTCTTATAGAACTCACTGAAATATTACGGCCTTACGACAAGTGGTTTTAATTTTAAAATTTTTGACTGTTAAAAATAAAATTAGACGATTTACTTGGTATAAAGATAGAGTTCTTGGTCTTAATGAACCTACTAAACCATTAAAATCCTACGGAAACTGGTTCAATTATAAAAATTGATTTTTGAAAATTTGCTTTTGGAAATACTCTGAGTTAACGTGTTCGTTCATCTTCTTATTATGTGTAATGAACCCACTCGGAATACTTTTAATCACTCAAATTAATTTATTTTTTCTTGACTAAGTCGATTATTTAATTAATCTATAATTTAATTATTTTATAATTAATATATAATTATCATCAAGTAAATACTTATTTTATAAATTAAATCAAATTTTTGTTGTAAAATTTTTATTTATGATGAAAAGAAGTAAACACTTGTAAATTGTTACCTTTGATTCATTTGTCGCTGGATTATAAAATACTAAAAAACAAATAAAATTTTTCCCACGTTAATTCATAAGAAACCTTAGTTTGAGTGCGGATTATTTTAATGTTAATATTGAGAGCTAAAACATTTTTTTTTATCAATTTGGAAGCATTTAAGCCCCTGGGAGCAATAAGATTCAAAAATATCCTAAACAATAGACAATAACTCACTACACAAAAAATTTAACAGGAATTCATATCTGATAATTAATTATTGGTTCAGGTTATTGCTGCGGAATGCAGAAAAATTATCATAATTTTTCAAATATGCAAGAAAGAATAGTTGGCGGTTCAGCAAGTTTGGGATATCATTATCCATGGTTTGCTCATCTTCAGTACAAAAATACAGAAATGAACTCATGTGCAGGATCTTTAATAAATTCGAAATATGTGATTACTGCTGCACATTGTTTTATCAGGTAATAAATATTATTATATATAAATCTAGTTGCGCAATATTTATGTTTAAATCTTTTACATTTATATTCGATGCACATCTACGTATGCATTGAATTCTACATTAAGGGGGGTGCTTTAGAGGCTTCAAAAAAATCTATTTTTTTTTTGCAAAAATGCAAAAAAGGCTCCGCCCATATCTTCAAAGTTCACCTACAACCGCATCAAAGTCTGCATTTGCTGTGCACTACTTCCGCATCAAGATCACTGTATTATGTCACAGTTCTCATATTTTCTCTACCTACACCTACAAACGAGTCTACACCTATCTGTATCAAAGTACCTGCAGCATTTTCTACAATTGCTGCACCTGCATTTATAATATAACTATCAGAATTTGCTGCACCTACATTAAATGACAATATAGATGCACCGATACACACCACTGATATACCAATGTCTATATTTTTTGAACCTGCAATTAAATGAATATCTATATATACACCTACATTACTTACATCACAGTCTATATTTGGGCTCCATCAAACTATATTTGCACATCTGCGTTGAAAATCCAATTTGAATCCATAATCATAACTAATCTTAATACAATTTTCAGATACCCTGGTGTTGAGCCGGAGCAAATATTCAATGTCATATTAGGACATTATAATCCCTGCCAAATAGACGAGTTGACAAAACGTGTTTTTGGCATCCAAAAGGTAAATATAAATTACCAAAAACATAAAAAGTTCCATAAAGATGATTCAAATTATTTTATTGATCACAATTCCAAATATTAATAAAGTGCATGAGTACATAGACATGAGTAATATAAATAGTAATACAACGTAATTAGTATAAAATAGCGTAAATACTGAAAAGCAGAATATCAACACCCATTTTGCTAATTTTATTCGCATTGAAATCATAGTGAACTCATTAAAGTTCTTCATAAGTTCTTTGAATTTTAATTGATGCAACCTCCTTCAAGATTTTTTGTACATAATATGTACATATTATGCGCTGTATATATTTTATATATAAATATGAAGTTAAAGTTTTTTGAACAAAAAACTCAATTTCTATTATATTTTCAATTTATTTTTAATATTTAAAATAATATAAATAAATTGTAAGTAAATAAAATGCATAACGGGGCACTAAATTGACAATATGACATGACATTTTTTGAAAATCGCACTAATACAAAATATGGAAGAAAAAGAGCTTTCAAAAGGTAAGCTGCCTGAGCGCATGTAGCAAGCTTTAATCATAGTGATTTTTATTTATTATATAGTAATTAAATATATATCGTTTTATGTGATTCACTCAATTATTATTGCAGGTTTATATTCATAATAAGTATATAACAAATGGTACATTTTTTGATATTGCGTTGCTGAAATTAGATGGAGATGCTTCCATGTTTACATCTATATGCCTGCCAGATATACGAGGTAAAATAATATATATATATATAAATATATATATATATATATATATATTTCTAATTTCTCAAAACGGTAATTTACAACGTGTTAAGAAATACAGTTAAAATATTGTTAACATTTTTTAGGGCCTCTCAGAAACCGCATGAAATTCATCCCCCTAAATAAATATTTTATTGTTTACCTATGACTAAAACATTGAGAAATGCGTCGGCTGCCTTTGTGATTTATTTATAAATAACATAAGATATACATAATGGAAATAGCAGTCTTACAGTATAGCAGATTCAGAAAGAATTAGTATATAATATCCGCGTTAAAAGTAGAATTTCACCTTGAAATTTTCGACCCAAAATAATTGCTTTAATATTTTTTGCCTATAATTTTTATAATCTTGTTGTACTAAATTGGTTTTTAGTAACTATAACATCTAAATTACATTCTTCTTACTAATAATTTAATACACATTATTACTTAAGTTCATATTTTAAGTGAATTAACTTGTCAAATCTTGTTCATATGGGCACTATTCAATATACGATCAACTAACTAAATATTCCATATCCAATGCCAAACAAATGAATTTTTAACACAGTGAAACTTCTGAATAATTTTTTGAATAAGACATTTTTTTGTATTAGGAAATAATTTAAAGTAATTATTAAAATTAATTGTAAAGTATACGATAAAATGCGACATAAATAAGTTAAAAAAATGTAAAACTAAATTATATAATTTCATCCACCATACATTGCATTACTGTATCTTATATTATTTTAATTTCTGGCACATTTCAGCTACTTTTCCGCAATAGTTATGTAGACACAACATTTTTTTTGTTCATAATCATTAATATACAGTCAACCCTCGGTTAACGCGGCACGTCCGTACCGTGCAGTATGGAGACCGTGCTATGAAAAACTCGTATTTAACGTACGATTCAGGCTAATTCGAAGTGTGTTCTATGGAAACTTATATAGCGCAGTATGGGAACCGCGCTATGAGGGACTCAGAGTTAGTACAATTTGCACCATTTTTATCGTGCTGTATGGAGACCAAGGAATACAACTTGAAGTAGGAGTAATATGAACGAAATGACATGTATGACATTGACACCTTATTCAAAAATTAGCGCGGTGCAGTAGTCAGTTCAAACGCTTACTTAAACAGCTATTATATAATCAGGCATGTCTGGAAGATAAAAGTCGATAACAAAACTTACATTAATACCCTTTTGATATCAAGTTCCTAGAATCACTCATAGGTTGCGTAAGGAACTTATGAGCTGTTGAACAAAAACCGTGTAATAGGAAGTCCGTGTAGTCGGATTTTTAGGGACCCGCGCACCCAGAGTGCCGTGTTAACCGAGGGTTGACTGTATTTCATTCTATCATTGTCTAGGAATTGACATTTCTGAAAGGTGATAGTTCTCATCTATCAAAATGTTTTCAATGTCAAACAATAATATGTTATTTTTTGCAATTTTTACCATTTATTTCTACAATATTACTATAGTTTTATAATTCACTACATTTTAAAAATGTTCCTTAACAAACTCCATAAAGATTTATCAAAATTCAAATATATAAAATATAACCATGAATTTATTCAAGGCGTAAGCAAACCTCGAGCGGCCGAAATTGTGGGCTACGGCGCGACGGTGGAGGGTGCCCTCATCGAACCGTGCGCCATGCGAACGGCGATCATCAACCTGTATACTAAACGCGAGTGCCGAGCCTCCGACAATCCGCCCTATTTTTGGGGACCAGGAATACTGTGCGCTGGCATCAAATCTGGATATGTCGACAGTTGTCAAGTAAGCGCCGTATAAAAGTCTCAAGATAATTATTATTATGTCTCAATTTGAAGAAACTAGTGGTTAACGCAAAATGCTGAAACTTTCCGTACAAAAATTAAATTTAAGCTTAATTAAGTTTAAGCTTTAAGTTTTTTGAAAACTTTGAAAAAAAAAAGATATTTGAGAATCTTGAAATTTTTGAAGAAAAAAAGACTTGAAAAATTTAATTTTTTTTGTATATTTTGAAATTTTTGAAAATTTTAATTATTAACTTCCCGTAGGGTAAGTTATTGTAATGGGCCGAAAATCGAAATTGAAAATTTTTACATTTCTCGACGTTTTGAAGGTTTCTGAACGTTTTGGCATACTTCAGAAAAATGGATGTGTGTGTGTGTGTATGTATGTATGTATGGATACAAATTTCCAGTCACGTTTTCGGGCGCACGGATCAACCGATTTGAATGTTTCAAAAAAATTCGATTTCTATTGACAAGGAAAAGAGCTGATTAGTTTTTGTCAAAGACAGGTCCAGCCGTTACGGAGATACGGAGCAAAGAGTGCAGAAAATAGAAATTGACTTTTTGAGAGAACGGAGTATCCGATTTGAATGATCTAAAAAGACATTCAATTAGTAATGATTGGGAGAAGTGTTTATTAGTTTTTGGCAAAGGCAGGCCCAGCCATTTGGAAGATATGGAGCTAAATATGTAAAAAATTGCAGTTTTTGAGAGAACCAAGCGTCCCATTTAAATGATTCAAAGAACTTTCTGCTTGTCTTAACAAAATAATTGATTTTATTCTGACTAAAGTTCTAATATAACTTATACAAATAATTTTAACTTTGCAATTCAGTTTATATAATTCTTATAAATATTAGACAATGTTACAATATTTATAATAATCTATTTGAAAACATTCAGTATTCCTCGAACATTTCGTTACGGTACGGGAAGTTCCAGCAATTTGTCTTAAGGCACGATGCCATACACCCCACTAGTTTTTTCAAAAGAATCATGCTCTAGGGCTGTTTTAGAGAAGAAATATCAAAGCGCTTAAGCGCCGCGTCGTAGCCTAACGGATAAAAATTGGTACCCATAGAAATGTGAACAAAATGTGTACTTATGATTAGAATATTTGTAATATATCTGATTATTTGATGTGCATATGTTTAATAATCATTTTTGACCGCCAAATGACTTTTTTACTTCTTTCACTCGATCTCCGAAACCGCTAGACCCGCCTTCCCAAAGAATTAATCAGTCCTTGATTTTCTTGATTATTAAAATCGGAAGCTCCATTCTCTCAAAAACTGAATTACTATTATTGGCACTTTTTGTCCCGTACCTTCGGAACGGCTGGACCTGCCTTGGCCAAAAACTGAACGATATATCTCCGCATATATTGATCCGCATTTCCGAAATCAAAAATTTGTATCCACGCACACATATGAACACACACGCACACACATACAAACACACACACACATACATCATTTTTTTTAAAGGTATGCCAAAATGTTCAGAAACCTTTAAAACATAAAGATTTACAAAAAAAAATTCGTTTTAGAGTTTTTTGCGATTACTATAACTTACCCTAAGCGAAGTTAATTTTCATAAAACTTCGATCTTTCAGATTAATAGGTCTATTGGTATATTCTTGGTTAAGTTTATTTTGAATAACTTCATCGTATGATGAAATAATTACCTTTGATTTTACAATTTGTCACAAACAAAGTATCTTCAGGAAAAATCATGTACAAAACAATTAATATTATGGAGAATTTATTTTGAAAGTGGTGTTAGTCCATTTTCTCTTGTTTCGAGAAAATGAATGATTTATTAATTAAATTGAACACAATTATATAAAATGTGCTGTTTTATAATATTTAATTTGATTATTTGTCTATTAGGTTATACTATATATATATATATATATATATATATATATATATATATATATATCACTTTCAAAATTAGTCAACGGTAAAAATCTATTAAGTTCAGATTGAAAAATCACATACAAGTTAAAATGTACTGCAATTTAGTCAAATTCTGTTTCCAAATATGCATAACAGGACATAAAATTTAATTTTAGACACCACATTGTGTACAAGCAGCAGATAGATTTTACTTATGCTCGGTGTCATATGACAACAATGTTTCATATAATATGTATTATACACCGGAGGTACGTAGACTAATAACTGCATTATGCATTCATAAGATGTTTTTAAAATGAAAATCTCTCGTTTCATTTCATGTAAAATGAATTAGATGTTTTCTATATTGTGTTATTACATCATGCAAACCCTGTGGCGTGCACAGAAAATTCTTTCTTCCAAATACCATTCCCAGGATACCAAAATCAGCATCTGCTTAGACTTACACCACTTTCGATGATTATGTAATTTTATTTAGTAACTGATTTTAAGTTGTATAAAACATATTTTTTTAAAAGAAATTAAACATTATAGTATATACTTATACAAAAAATAATAAAATACACATTAATTTTAGTACAAATTCCATGATAACTTTTTTTATAAAGTGGACTTTTTGCACACATTATAAAATAAACATATCCAAATCTGTCGCACAACATAATATAATTTTGCTAACGGATTTATTGGGCCGATTCTGCCGCATAATAGAAACATGTTATGGCAAGGCCATGATACGCTCCAACTTCCATACATTATGCTACCAAATCATACTGAATACCGTCAAAATATAATGTATTTGCTGTGCATTCAGGCGCTTCACACATAAACTGCAACGCCACTTGTATGTTATGAACCTGAGTCAGAAAGTCCCTGTATAAGACCGTTTTTTGACATTTGTGCGGTTTCTAGGTTAGGTTTTCTATCTGACAATCCGAGAAATAAGCCTGACTGCACACCAACCAATAAATTTTGTCAATATTTAGTATGGAAAGTTCTTCATAACATGGGATTAGTCTGTTATGCAGCAGAATCAGTCCATATATTATGGTAAAAGTATACAAACGTTATTAGAGCAAGCTTATTATTTGAGATTTACAACTAAGGAGACATTAGTATAACTAATTATGTTTTTACATAGAGGATATATTTCAAGAAAATCACATACATCAAACAAGAGATACAGATTTATATTTTATAGGTCTTTGAAAATAACGTTCAAATAATAATGTGTTTACTTCTTTCTCCATAAATAGAAAATCTAAGAAAACACGAAATAGCTCCAATTTTCAGTAGATTTATTATAAATATTTCCTTATATGTAAATTGTAGTGTAAGTTATAAAAAAGTTACAATTTACAAAACTCAATTTTCAGGGAGACAGTGGTGGCCCCTTACAAGTTCTTGTTAACGGAAGGTATGTGTTAATAGGTAAGTTAGATATATTTATTTCAATATATAAACAACACTATTTTTTTGCTGAGCCGAATTTTAGTGCAAATATGAATGTAAATTAAAAATAAGTAAATATTGAATAAACTCCAACAATAAATCAAAGAACATCAATATTGATACTTTTTAAATTTTTATGACACGTCTTGTAGAAGAAATGTTGGTAATCAAAACCAATAAATTTACTTCAATTTTTTATATAACAAAAATGGTGTGAAATCATTGTTCATTCTGTTTTTTGTATTTGAAATTGTAATAATAAAAATTGATTTCATATGAGATAACCGTTTAGGTTGCCATCTATGAAAAGCCTGCTTAAAATCAAATAACAAAATAAAGTAAAAATTGCATTCGTAGTGATGCAACTAAAACAAATAAATCATTATACTTCTAAAAAAAAGTTATATACGTATATTTTCATCACCAACGATGGTATCATATAAATATTATTAAGAAAAATTAATTTTTACCTGTTTATCCAATTTTTCAATAACTATTACAACTGTAGTATTTTAATAAGACTGCAAATATTAGTAAAATTAAAATTTAATATAAATAGTAACTTATGATATAAAATTGTAGGTATAGTTTCTTTTGGAATCGGATGTGGCCGACCAGGTATGCCAGGAGTGTACACGGATGTATCAAAATATTTAGGATGGATTTCAACAAAAATCAACGACAGTGCTGAAATCTAACAGAAAAAGCAATGCTAGATCTTTAACCAGTTTAACAGTGATTGATGAGTATTTTCGTCATAGAAAAGTAACAGAATTTTGTGTTTGTAGATTATACTCGCCGTAGACATCAAGGAGCATTGTCTATTTGAACTACAACATTTGAAAAAAAAACGAAACGCGTACACAAATTTCAAGATTGCAAAATTTTGGAGCCTATGCCTATATTAAACAAGTAGTTTTAAGTAGCACTTTACCTTAAAACAAAATGTGTGAACTTCTCGAATTGTCTGTAGATGATCAACTTAATAAAAATAATTAGTTATTAGTTTTATTTTTTTTATTATACAAAACGCTATCTAAATAACTTAATATATGTTCATTTTAAAAATAAAAATTTTGCTCTTTTCGAAAAACTATTCAATGCTATTTCCAATTGATATCTTTTAAACGAACTTACAAGATATTAATTTAATTCGCATTAATTTATAAATTATTGATTTTTTTAAATATTGTTTTTTTTATTTTATAATGTTACTATACTCATATATTAAGTTTTGTAAATTATTAATAAATTCGGCCCGCCAATAAAATTTAAATGATATTGTAAATGTGTATTTACAACCGATTTGATTAATGATTTGAATAATTCAAAAAACATTTTACTTGTATTCACGAAATGAACAACTGGTAGAATTGTTCAATGTCCACAAATTCACAAAAAATTGCACAATAATATCAAGTTTAAAGTTGGCAAGTTTTCGTCAGAATATGGCTCCGAATTGCTGACAATTTTTTTTTATATAGTTATATGAACAGCAATTAGATCTTAAGGTTTCCCCAAATAGTAAGTCAAACAGTTGTCTCAACTCTATATAATAATTATTACAATTTCTGTAATAGGGCAAATATTTTACTGATGCATCAATGTCGGACTAGGGCTATTTTTACTGGAAAGCACAATCTATATTTCCAAGTGAGAACCGAGGTCACTACTGCTTGACATCGGGCTCTGACTCAGGTCCAGTCGCTCTAGCCACTCATCCACGAGTGAGCCGAAAAGAGTTAAATATACGTTTATTAACAACTATTTTAAATTCTGCAAGAATACGTAAGTTTATATAAACATGCCAATTTATATCATAGTTGGGAGGTTCTACAACATCGGGTATGGCTCTTAATTGAAACATTTCACTTTTGTCTTAAGGTAAGTATGTATAATATATACACGAGGTGAAACTCACCCTTAAAGATGAATGAACTTCGTGATGCATGTAAATAATCGACTTAATCGATAACAATTCATATATTTAGATTCTTAGGTAAAAGTTCTCAAAGTCAAGTTGTTAACTTGCCGTAGGGTAAGTTATAGTAATCGCAAAAAATCGAAAAAAAATTTTGGCATACCTTAGAAAAATGGATGTATGTGCGTGTGCGTGTGCGGATACAAATTTTCGTCGACGATTTCGTGAACACGGATCGATTTTGAACAACCGATTTGAATAATGCAAAAAACATTTTACTTGTATTCATGAAATGAACAACTGGTAAAATTTTTGTAAAGACAGGTCCAGCGTCTCTAAAGATCCAATAAAAAAAGTAAAAAAAAAATCAAAATACAAAGTCAATTTTTTTAAAAAATTTCAAAATTTCTCAAAAATCTAATTTTTGCAAAGTTTTTTTTAATAATTTAGTTTTCGTACGGGAAGTTTCAGCTATTTGCCTCCATGCACTACTAGTTTATTTGGAAAATATTGCAATTATTTTATAGAGTTATGATTTCTTAGGTCTCCTAAAATGTTTTCTTGTCTATGTGAAGATAAAAAATCTTTTCTTGTGCTAATTAATCGCATCGTTATGAGATTTTTTTTCACATGGGCCATAGTAACTTCTATCAGATATTTTAGTTAAAATTGCATCGAGGAAATTTAGTGTATCAAAGAAAAAAAAAATCAAATTACGTCTTCAAGACATGACTTATGTAGACTTTTTTTTAACATCAGACGTATATGACTGACATTGCTATTATCGTGTTCAAAATTTAAAGTTCATTTAATAGTAAGTAATTTTGCTAAGTAAATCCAAAGATTTAGCAAAAGGTAATCTTCTTGACGAGTTATCACAAGATGAAAAAATATCAGACCCGGAATCTCACTTCAAAGTCCACGTGTACAATATCTGCTTATATATATTCCATTTCTCAAACTCAACAAGGATTTCAAGGAATTTGCGACCTGAAGGTATGTTCGAAATTTTGCAACCGGAGACACTCATGTCTTCTTCAAAGGAAGAATTAATAAACGGTTCCGGAAAACTGCCGGCAAATGCAGTAAAGGCATTTCAGATAAATTTGCGGTCTAATTGAAGGCTCTAAAAACATGTTTAAAATTTAAATTTAAAATATTCAAAGAATTCATTGTATTGAGGAACTTCCATGATATAAGCCAAGATTTTATATTTCAACTAGATGAACCAACAGACGTTGTCCTGTACCCATGTCTACAATTATTAAAAATCCTATACTAATATTTACCGTTTACCTAAAAATAATAATTATTGTTTTTTAAATTACTCTTCACGCCAAAATGCGTATACGTTTATAATATGAGCGATGTTAAATGTAGAACTGCTTTAAATAAAATGATGAGTCTCAATTCCCACACTATATTGGAAATTGAAGTCTTTTCAACGGTATAACATAACCACAACCTTTACATTGGCATTACACTGGTACTTCACGTTGGATTAAATTAATTTAATTTTTTATTATTGAAGATATCCAAAATTGCATCTTAAACTTCTCCTAATCGATATCGTGAGGGCCGAATTGTATGTATTCATCTTTACTTTCCCATTTGTTGTTATAAAGTGAAATTTTTACGAATTTTAAAATTATTGTGGAAAGATTAGTAAAAGATGCATATAAATTATATTGAAAAAAAAACTATATTGAAAATTTAACATCCGAATCTTGTGTTGGCGCCCCCTAAGGCGTGCGCTCGTATTTTTCGCACGCATCGCATTAAAGATAGGACCGGCCCTGATTAATAGTGAATTTCATATTTTAAGTGAATTAATTTGTCATATCATGTTCATATGTGTATCATTCAATCTGCCATACATATACTGTATCTTATATTATTTTAATTTCTGGCACATCTCAGCAGCTTTTTGGCAATAATAATGTAGATATTTCAATTTCTTATTCATAATCATTTTCAATGTACTTTATAATCACATACATTCTAGAAAATTTCCTTAACAAACTACAGAAAGATTTATCAAAATCCGAATAATAGTTTAGGAGGAGTATACAGTGAGTGCTTGTAATTTAATATGAACTTTATATAATAGCAATAAAGCTCAAATTGATCGGTTTTAATTAGAAAACGTTTGTATGTGAAAAAGAAAAGGGCTGTTTTTAGGATTTTCCCGGCAATTATTCGATTTTGTCTCGCCGTAAGAACCATCCTTAGATTTCAACGAACATTTAAAAAAAAGAATTGGCCAAATTGATCCAGGAGTTCTGAAGTTATGCGCTTACCAACACATTTTGCGATTCATTTTTATATATAAGATTACGTCTTTTCAGAATGCATTCGTTTATTTGATAAAACTCGAAAGGCGTTGATTAGTTTTACATGTCGATCGGCCAAGCCGTTTCTTCACATCAAGCATAATAATGCATTTCCTCGATATTTCCACAATAAAATCTGAACCGATTTCTTAAATTTAAAGGCCGTTCCAAAGACATTAGTTGGGGATTGTGCACATTCGTTTTTGGTAAAATCATCCAGGCTGTTTGATTAACTACGACGTGATTAATTGTTAAAAGTAATTATTTACGATTTTGATGAAACATTTTATGATGATGGAGTATCTTGTTTTAACAAACATCGCAAAACATTATGACTATACAAAAAGTGGTTTTTATAACAGTTCTTTACAGTTTGGAATAATGGGCCATATCATTATTTAAGTATAAATGTTAAAAGTTGCTATATCTCAATCCGTGTTGATCATATAGATTATTTACACCTTGTTAATTTTTTACAATCTCATCAACTTCTTCGAAAGAAAATATTCAAAAAGTAATTTTCACTAATTTCCACAATTGGTTATCAAAAACTAATCATCGAAATAGGTGAAACGAAACACGCACACACACACGCGCATAATTTTCCAAATGTGGTCTCAAACAATTCAGAATGACTTGAAATGTTGAAAGAACATGAAATTAGCTAATAGTATTTTCTGGCGTGAACAAACGTCTCCTTCAGGAAGTTAATAATAAAATTATTGAATTAATAAAACAACTTCGCAAATATTATTTTAATACTATTGCCTTTTGTGACACCCCTGGAATACAAACATATTTATTTACTACCTATTTACTTATCTTTTCCAGAAGCAATTTTATCGGGTATAGTTAAAAAATATAATGATATGCACGTATAATATTATAGATAGGCAAGCAATAACAAACAATTACATGACTAAATATTAAAATTTGTATAGTTGATAAACAAATTCCAATTACGTCTATGAGTCAAATCTAAACCGTTGCATCCAATGTTTAATAAAACATTTTATTTTTGAAGTGATAAATCTTTATAACTTTGCCTTAAAACACAATGAATATAAATAATTACCCATAAGACCTTCAAAAATATTATCGCCAGCTGATTTTAATCGTCACATTGAAAATATTTGCTTAATTATTCGTCCGTCAGTGGCACTTACATGCAAGTGCTAGGCCTGTGATTTTTTATTTTTGTCTACCATATTTCATTAAAAACAACGTTATGAAATTTTTGTTTGTGGTATTAACTATAATATCCTTAACGCAAAATTGGAAAATTCATTGTCAGAGATGTGGCAGACCTGAGGAATTTGGAGGAGATGTGAGAATTGTTGGTGAGTACCACGACTTCCTTACGGACTACGGTTACACATTTTGTACTAACAATTAATTATTTTAACACACACACACACACACACATATATATATATATATATGTATATATATACAAATCGGTAATCGCGTTGTATGGAAATCGCGCTATAAGAGATTCAAATTTAGTGCATATCACTTAATTTGTATGACCTATATATTTGCATAATACAGAAGACGAGATATATTATAAATTGTTTTTATTTAATTAAAGGTTTTATTAAAGAACATGATAAAAAATTAAAGATAAGCTGAACTAAAAAACAAATTTCCAACAATGAGCTGTTTAACAAAAAACCGTTTTAATAGAGGGCTGTCGTAATTTCAGCTCCACGTAATATGGAAATCGCGTTTCCAGGGTACCGCGTTTTATCGAAGCGTTTACTATTTATATTGTATGTGTGGATTTGAGTGTGTTCAAATTTATATTTATTAACAGTCAATTCAAGAGCAATTTACTGAATATAGCATTATAGCTCATTGCCAAATGCTGGAATTTTCCGCTATAAATAATAAATTAAAAAGAAACTTCTTCGCCAAGTTAGATTTTTCCAACGATAAAAATTATAATTCTTAAATAGAAATCGAAAAACAACATTGTGCAAAAAGTATTTTTTTAATTTGAGATTTTTTAACATGAAGTTTAGAATTAAAAACAGTTTAATTCTTAATTAGTGGCACGATAACCAAAACTTAGTAAATAAAAATTATGTATGCTGTCAGAACCTCTGCAGGAAAGAACGACATTTCGATGAGCATTAGAAGAGTGCGTGGCGCAGAAAGTCAGAGTTCTTTTCAGGGAGCCAAAATTCGACATCCCTCCGATAACACGGACTACATATAACACTGAGCGCAATCTATGAATGAATTTAGTAACTAAATATGGTTGTAAAAAGTTTTAATACAGGTTTGATAAATTAGTGCTATGGCTTTTCCACACAACTAAAAGAAATTCTGCTTGAAAAACTTCTTACTAGAAAACAGTTTTTTGGTTTAGCTTTTGTTTTATTGTTTATATCATTTTCTAATATAAACCCTTGAATTCAATAAACAAACCTCTTTTTCTTCATTGGCTATTGCTTTAACATTTATAACCAGTTGAAATTTTTATTAACAAATCTACATATTTTTTTTAGTATTCATAGAGATTCGACTATGCTTTTTGAATGCTTTTTTAATGCTGTAATTTTTTTGACATTCATCATAAGTTGCTGCCGGCCTTATTATGAATTTTTTTAGAATCCGCTACAAGGCCTCGCCTCCTATTTGCTCCTTATGGTAGGCAGACAAATACGTAGCATATATACATGGTTCTTCTCCTACGGCATCAATTAGGTTTTCAATTTGATCTCTGAAGTACACGAATCAAGCACATATGTTGATTCACGCGAAAAAATACAGATTTCCTATTTGACATTGAAAGTGTAGGCTACCTAACAATTCATCAGTAGCGGAATAGGGCAACGCTCTATTCGTAAAATATGGAAAAAAATTTCGAGAACGGAAGCTGCTGTGAAATCATTTTCCGACGTTGCTATGCACATGGTTATAGACAAGAATGTTAAGGATATGGCAATATGGTGAATGGTGGTCTTAATCGTAATACATGTCTAGCAATATCGTAAAATATAAGGTTGTCAAATATCTCCCTTCCGCCTTTTTGTATTATAAACCAAGAGCAAAAAAGCGAAAGGGAGATATTTGACAACCTATGGTTTGTCTTGTCGTTGCTAGATGACAAACTGACTGGTATGCACTATTCCAGAAATCAAGGATCGTGTGCATGGGGCTTAATGTTTCCAAAATCATTTGAGAAAAGTTCATAGGGCAACAAATCACATGTTTAATCTAGAGTTTTAGACTAAATAACATTTACTATATTAGAAAAACTTTCTTTAGTACTTAAATAAAGTGCATTAACAGATGCATAATTCAAAGTATAAGTAACATAACTTGACTGAATGAATGCAATAGTTATAAGCTGACTGAATAAATGCTAGACATTTCTTCAAAATATAATTTCGTTTTGTAGGTGGACAACCAGTCGGTTATTATAAATACCCTTGGTTTGCAATATTGGAATCGGTCGGCACAAGACGACAAGTAACTTGTGGAGGAAGCTTAGTAACCAAGAGGCATATTATAACGGCAGCACATTGTTTCAAAGGGTAAGAAACTAATTTAATTTCCAGTTAATAATAATAATTAAACTAGTGGTGCATCGTACCTTAAGGCAAAATGCTGCAACTTCCCGTACCAAAAATTAAATATTTTAAAAAGATTAAATTTTTTGAATTGATTTTTAAGAATTTTGAAATTTTTGAAAAAAATCGACTTTTTTTAAAAAAATATTTTTATTTTATATTTTGAAATATTTTATAAATTTTGAACTTGTTTTCAAAGCAATCTCGCTGCTTTAACGGCATAGAGACGAATTGTCGAAGCGCATAAGCGCCGAGTCGCAGTCTAACGGAGAAACAATGTTACGGAACCCATAGAAATGTAAACAAATTGTATACTTATTATTAAAATCTCCTAAAAAGTCCTTTTTGCCCTGTGTCTTCGCAACGGCTAGACCTGCCTATGCAAAAACTAATCAACACGTCTCCTTATCAATACGAATCGAATGTTCTATAAATTATTTAAATCGGTTGATCCATGTTCCCAAAATCGTCGACAATAATTTGTATCCGCACACACACACACACAAAGGATACGTATTTATTTAAGCTAAGGAAAAATTAATCTGCACGTGCATTCTGTGCTCACTTAAACTAAATAATGACCATAAAAAATTTAAAAACGAATGCTTGCATAAATACATTTATTAATGTCAACCACTATATGTACTAATATTTCAAAACAATAAATTAATTACTGTCATACTACAAATATGATATGATTGGTTTGTGATAACTGAAGCCAAAGCATATTTTCGGTCAGCATATTGTCCAAATTTTTTGATAAAGTTGCATTAATGGTGCCGTATCTCGTAAAAAACTATATTTGTTAAATTTAGTTTATCATTCATAAAACTATATGTTCGAGATTTTTCCGAATGAAACTTGATATTGAAACCTCCACCAAGATATAATGATATCTCATTTTAGATTTTCAAGTCTTGAACCTTCATTAGAAAAATTTAGTAATTATTGATAAATAAATTTTGTAATAATTAAAAACTCAATGTAGTTTTATTCTAATGTTACTCATATAAGGTAATACAGCAATATCTCTTAATATCAATTTGTGTATTATTTATCCAAAGTAAACCTTTGTAATACTTTATCTTGAAGATTATAGAAATGAGCTTGTATGCTTTGAAAGTTGAACAGTAAAATATCATCCTAGACAATATTAGAATACCCCGTGTTCATATAGACGCTTCTCTCGCCCGATTTTTACGTTCAGAAGGAATACTTAAAGGGTCCTCCGCTCGACGTGGTGGCGCTGCTTTTGGCACTCAAATTAATGGCGCAAAATTTGAAATGAAAATTAATGAATTTTAGTACACGGGTATTTGAAACTAAATTCGGTATTACAATACTATTGTGTTTTGTAATGATACAATAATAACAAAAATATACTAGATAATATTATATTATAATAAATATACAATCAAATCGAAATATAAATCGACAAATATACTGCAATACACCGGTTTATATATAATAGATATCACATCTAATCTACTGGAATAACTTCTACACTTTTTTCTACTTATTAATATAAATATTCAGTGAAATTTAGTGAATAATGCATTATAGTGTTAGTTCATTACATCGACTGTCATTCTTAACTCTCATTAACTAATAATCATCCCGTGCAAAATTTGACATTCTTAAGCAATTCATTTTCTCCCAAGTATATTCAGATCCGCGTGAAGTGGTAATCCAATTTTAAACAGCTGGAACAGCTTTCTTTTTGTGTATTATGCCTTTCTTGTAGAAGCGTATATTTGATTTCTTACACAATTTCCTAGAACTGACCTCTTTCCTTAAAGTGTATTATGATTAGACTAATATGTCAATGCACTACGTAGTAATGTAGTAATTATGTCCTCCATATGAGTTTGAAGCTGTTCTATTCATATTGTCAAAGGGCTATGCATTTGAGAGCAATTCCTGATGAAATCTTTATTAACAAATATACAAACACAAACGAACAAGAATCGCCATTTTGTAAACTTACACAAAAATAACACTGACGTGTCTTACTAACCAAAATAAAACATTTGAAAATACTTTTTCATCGGCTCACTAGCGCCAAATCTGCGACTACAAATGGACCCCTAAGTATTCCTTCTGAACGAGGATTTTGTTCTAAGTGAAAAGGCCCTGAATATCATCAAAATTTTACCTTAAAAATATATAGCAACTTATCAATAATAAAATACAAAACTTACGTTTCTTAAACAGCACGACATTTTTAGATGTTTGATTAAATTTTTTCAATTTAATTATTTACTTGTAACGATGGTGTTATGGTTTTGATTATTATTAAATTTAGATTTCGACGACAGAACTCAACTTTGTTTTTTGACATTTGATGTTTCGGGTGACATGATTGCGCGCATAAAATAAAAGACATCGCATATAAAATTTGTCAAACGAAAAAGGCTCAAAATTTTTAGTTGAATGTAAAAAAAATAATTAAAAATGAGTACGAGTAATCTTAGGAACTATTTGAAGGAAGTCGTGGCAGACGATAATTATCTCAAAAACAAATCTGAAACGATAATGCATAGTATCAAGTCGAAACTTATAATTAGAGGAATAAAAGCAGAAAATCAAAATCTAGTAGTGGAGAAGGAATTTGAGGCATCGATTGCACAACTTGAAGAAAGAATAATTCATCTCTTAACAAAATACAAAACTTTGAATAAGAATGCCTCGCATAAACTGACAGAAGCAAAAATAATGGTCGAAGAAACGGAAAAAATGATCATGGAAGACAATAGTTGATTCATCAAGCTCCAAATTTTATGTATAAATGTTATAAATAGTTTATTCTGAACTCAGTAATATAAAAGTTTTTTTAAAACAGTCATTCATTTTTTAATTATATTTACTATGTTTATTCTGTTTATTTGTAAGGTTTAAATAATAAAATTTTAATGGTTTAAATAATAAAATTTGGTATATTCGAAAATTGAGTACAGTTGTAAAACTCAATAAGAACAATTAAATACAGTTATATTCAAACTCATTTCTAATGATAATATCGATGACCAATAATGTCGTAGCGCAACGCATTTTTGTCCAAATTATGCTGAGTTACTCCCTAGTCGCGCCTAAAGAAGTTTTACTTCAAAAATTCTACTCATTATTTAAACTGCCTAAATAATAAATTTATAAATCGTTATGTAATAACTAGGATTCACTTTGATATTTTTATAATTTTATGATGTTTTAAATTATGCATTGAACTAAATATATTGATATTTGTAAAGTTAATTTTATGGTTTTATTTCCTTATTATAAAACAATTAAATCATTCTTATGATATGTTCTTATTTTTTTGGAACTGGTGATCATGAATAAATCAACGCCAGTTGTTTTATCAGAATTTGCTTTTATAAATCCTGTATCGCACATATATGAAAAAATGAACTTTTAAAAATTGTTTTTTAACTTCCCGTAGGGCAATTTATAGTAATCGCAAAAAAATCGAAAATGAAAATTTTTATAGATCTTTACGTTTGAAAACCTTCTGAAAATTTTAGCATATCTTAGAAAAAATGGATGTATATGTGTGTGTGTGTGTATATTTAAAATTAAATTTTTAAGTGCTTATCATAGGAGATCTTATATATGTTAATTTGTTCATCAATTATTAACAAATTACTATCCGTTTTTTTTTGTTGGAATTCAACGATTTTGAGTGAAGTGCTCGACAAACAAACAAAAATCGATATTTTTTAAATCCGTAATGATGGGCACTTTTAAATATGCTATTGAAAATTCGAATGAAAAAAATTCAAATTGTTGTAATTTTGCGTGCCGCGGATTTAGACGCGGCTCGCCGAAATGGCTCTGGTACCGCTATTTGTAAATTTTTTTTTACAATTATATTTTATTTTGTTACTTTAAAGTACAATAAATAACTATGTTTAATATCATGATATTAAATTAATTTTAATTAAATTATTACTTTTCCTTCAGCGAAAAAAAAAAACAAAACATACTTTTTTTTATTGCCAGAGTGGTGTAACCCCTAAGGCACAATGCCATGCACCCCACTAGTTTAGTAGTAAATTTAGAATGGTTTTGTCAAGTTACTTATAATAACCATAAGCGCTGCACTCTGATGAGAAATTGCTTGAAGTAATAGCCAATCGTGGCGCCTTCACAGTCACATGATTGTTTTTTTCAAATTTTATCAATTTTATCGTTTAGAATTAATTAATTAACTTCCCGTAGGGTAAGTTATTGTAATGGGCCGAAAATCGGAATTGAAAATTTTTACATTTCTCGACGTTTTGAAGGTTTCTGAACGTTTTGGCATACTTCAGAAAAAATGGATGTGTGTGTGTGTGTGTGTGTGTGTGTATGTGTGTGTGTGTGTATGTATGTATGGATACAAATTTTCGCCCACGTTTTCGGGTGTACGGATCAACCGATTTGAATGGTTTAAAAAACATTCGATTCCTATTAATAAGGAGAAGAGCTGATTAGTTTTTGGCAAAGACAGGTCCAGCAGTTACGGAGATAAGGAGCAAAGAGTGCAGAAAATAGAAATCGAGTTTTTGAGAGAACGGAGCATCCGATTTGAATGATCTAAAAAACATTCAATTAGTAATGATCGCAAAGGCAGGCCCAGCCATTTCGGAGATACAGAGCTAAATGTACAAAAAATAGCAGTTTTTGAGACAACTGAGCGTCCGATTCAATTGATTCAAAGAACTTTCTGCTTGTCTTAACAAAATAATTGATTTTGAAAAAAAAAAATTTGTAACATTTTTTTTTTATTTTTTTTTTTAATTTTTTGTATGTCGAAAATAATTCAGATTTTATTTTTAATTCTGACTATAGTTCTAATATACTTTAAACAAATAATTTCAACTCTGCAATTCAGTTTATATAATTCTTATAAATATTAGACAATGTTACAATATTTATAATGATCTATTTGAAAACATTCAATATTTCTCGAACATTTCGTTACG